AATAAACTATGAAAGATATTGCATGAAGATTTTATATTATATTAGGAAAAAATAAGTACTCAGTGTCTGTTCTTGTAACCGGATATCACCTTAGAAGGGAAAAAAAAGAAAGTTGGTTGAAAGAATGATCAGAGGTAGTTCGTGCAATTAAACCAATAATTACAGCACTTTAACGTCAAATTATATAGTTGGATTTTAAACTTACAGGGTATGCTATCAAAATCTCAATCGCTATTATGAAATTTAAATGAACCACATATATAAAAAACGTTCCTGGATACATGTTAACTTCAGTTGTTGGTGGGTACTGATTGAAGGAGCGCCGGGTCCGGCTATATATTGCAAGACGATGAGGATGTGAATAATTAAACTGACTTTCAAACCGGTAAAATAACAGTTGAGCACAGAAAACATAACAAACCTGATAGTGTAGTTATTATTTTTTTTTTTTGTCAAACAAGTTGACACACTTCAAAATAAGTTTTCTCATTAGATGAGGGAATCAATGCACAAACAAAAAAAAAATTTAACCACAAGAAATTTCGAATAAAAATGCTATTCATTCGTTACGAATATGTAAGCATATTAATATAAAGAAATGTATAAGAAACAAACAATATATGCTCTAGTAAAAAAATAACCTATGTTCTTAGAAATCAGGTTACCGTTTTCTAAATTTTATTAGAATCATTCAAGTTTGTTCATAAACATAATATTTTAAGTGATTCGTTCTGTGTAATGTAATCTTTTTGCGAATATTATTATTATTTATCACATATTTAAATGATTTTCGAAATACAAAATACTGATGTTAAAAAAATGTAAATAAGGAGCCAGACAATATACATAACGAGTAAGGAAACGTAAAAAAAATGAATAGGGGAGACAAACAATAAAAAATATAATAAATTTTCTTATGCAATGACATAAACTCTAACGTCAATGAAAAACGAAAAGAAGAAATTTATTTTTTTTATTTTTTTAGAACTTGTTTATTGTGAAATAATCTGTCTCAAAGAATATTTATAATTTTGTTCTGTAAATAACCTATTAAGGGGTAATTGTAAATATTTCTTTTGGCGGGAAATGTAAATATTCCTCCTATTTTATCGGGGGACTAGGTTTTTTACTCTCGTGAATTTAATTTTCTTAAAACAAAACCCCTTCACTGGATATAGAATTTTGAGGGTGCGCAACTGTTTTTGGGAATTCTGGGACCTAATCCTTTTGTCACACTGAGTGACAAGAAACAATAAGAATATATATATATGTATATCTGAAATGTGGGACTTAGTAATCACACTTTGACTGAATTGATTCACCTGGTTTGTTATTCTTCAATTGTGAGGCCTATAGGACAACTAAATAAAAGGACTATTCACTCCTGTCTAACAAAACAATTTATTTTATAACTGTAATAAGTGAATATGGATAGTTGGGTCACATCGGGCAATATTGTTGAGGTACCTATTCTTCAAATCTTAGTCTAATGTTGCTTTTGTGGTTTGCTCTACATACCTTACCCCAATAAATTTTAAATACAATCTGTTAAAAAATAATATGTAATTGATATATTATAAAATATTCATTCCCTTACCAGGTGATAGGAGCCGTACTCAATTCTTAAAAAGAAATCATAACACACAATTTAGATTGTCTCGCAATTCGTTGATACAATTGCTTCGTTACCGAGAATAATTGAAGTTTATTAAAGATACAGTTTAACTGAATAACGTTATCTAAAATGTTGTTATAGAACAAAATGGATTTTTAAAATGTATAAACTAATTAAAGTTAAGCAGAACAGATCAGGACAAATAACAAGTTCGCTACCGGGAGCCATTTCCTTTGCATTTCTTTTGTTTGCAAAGTGACAATAAAATATATTTTTTTAAGAAGTGAAGTATAGCTTTTGAAATCTATCAAACTTATCAAAATCTCAGTAAATTGATTGAGACTTACGGGAAACCCTCTATAATTAAAGTGCTACGAGTTTGTAGTTTCTCAACAATTCATGTCATATTCCTGCATTTACATTTGTTAGACGTATTTTTATTCTAAAACAGTTGTAAATATCATGAATAAAAAATAAATATCTTTCTAAAGCACTAAATTCTTCAGAAATTAATCGGAAAGTTTATTGTGATAGACACCATTTATTATTATTTATTTTAACATTTTATACCATTTGCACTTAAGCTGCAGCGCACCTAGCAAGTCTGATGTGTTAGGCATTATCTGTGAGTTTGCTTGATTAACTTAATTTTGTTATTATTGTAGGTTCCTTAGCCATTTTCTTTTTATTCTGTGTCGATCAGGTAACAGGTAGCAGGAAATATAAAGGAACGCTTCAATAGAACGATTAATATGAAACTCGTGGACTCTATACTGATCGAGATGAACGATTTGTGATTGATTTAGATATTAGCTATTGGAAGAGGAGTTAGAAACTGAACACAAGTTGGCGGAGGGCTTTTAATAGGAAAAGGGATTGTCAAGGGCAGGCGGCGGTACTAGGTTCAACATCAAAAGGTCTCGCCTCAATTAGCAGAGGTCTTAATAATTTACTTTCGGCTCAAATCTCCTCGGTTTGCTCTTTGTTTGCCTTTTGGAGACAAAATTCTGTCAATTGGACAATAGTTATAGTGAGATGGACTAGATTCAAGTAAATTTAAGAAGTAAAATACTTATTTATACTGATAGATAAAATATATGGTATAAAATGAAATAGATTTGTCTACAGAATCAGTTACTTAACAACCATTGTGTTAGTTTTTATAAATAAGGGGTGGTTTCTCAGCAAATCAGCGAAAATGTATTATACTTAGCATGGGAAGGCATGAGAGAGACCGCATGTTCCTGATCTTCAGAGAAATTAATTATATTGGCACATTAGGATATCGCTCATCTAACTCTTTTCTATTGTTGACCGTGGTAGATTGATACCACGTGTGAACAACTGTATTTTTTCGGCAACGAATGTCTTACTACAAAATTAGGTTTACTGGTCCATGTATAGCAGAACCATTGTCCGTTTTAGTTATGATAGTGTTCAATAGAGTCCTCAAATTTGTTGCTATAAATACGTCTAGTAGGCCAGTTTTTTTTTTAAATCGGTAATTAAAGAACTTAATCAGTTGGTAGAAAACAGGCCTCAGTTTCCTGTCCTTTGATGTAAGACGTGTGCATTGTAATCTCCTCCTGCTAGAAACGTTCTGCCAACTGATTCAAACAGACTAACAATATTCCAGTAAAAGTAGGCAAAAAAACAAGGCCGATGTAAAGAAAATTCATAATTGGCTGTAAATGAGGGAATCAGTTCCTTAACGAATGTAGAACAAATCAAAGTTTCCTAAAATCCCATGTCCGCTTCCATCCAAAATGAAGGGTCAAAGATGGTACCTGGCACTTTCTGCATTATTTTATGTTTTTCCTCATATTTCCGTCAAAAACCATCGTTCTTGAACTCCGAAAGTACTAATATAATCGGCAAGGATGCTTGTTTTAGATTCAATCGAAATAACTAAAAAAAATATAAACGAGCTGGAAATTGATCTATTTGGCGTCAATAATGCAAAGTTTTCTTGATTTTATTTTTGTCAACCCTCATAACTTTGTAACTACTGACAAATGAGAAATAATGTTTGTGATATTTTTTTAGTCCTTAATAAGAGGAATACTAAAAATAATGTTTTTTTAAATATTTGTTGAAGAATGGTGGAGATATATTATTTGTAATGAAAAATGATGCGATTTCCAAACAGAATTACATCGCGAATAGTGTTGCCCGAAATCGGTCTTGATTTTGTTTATGTTTTAACATTCCATTTAAAACATTGGGTCCTATCAACCCAACCCGTGGATGGTTTTATAGACTGCAATTCTCAGAGCACGGAAAACAAAAATGGTGCCTGGGAAGTGGTAATGGGCAGGAAATGAAACCGGTGAAGACAGGGACTCAAGAAAACAGAAATGGTCCGAATCTGAGGTAACTATTAGTAATAACATTCAATTTCTTGTATCGAATTCGATTCAATTATATCGAAATAGGTGACTGATCTCCTAGTAGTTCAAAATTTATCTTTGATTAAGAAATAAACATTATTTTTAGTTACTAACCTCGAAAAAAGAGAAAATTTAAACATAATTACAATATACAATATAAAGATAAATAGGAAGATAAATAGGAAGATAGTAAAGATAATAGAAATAACAAAAAAAGATACTTATTCTATATACAATAGTATGGCATGCTACTTTTAAACATACAAGAAATTATAGTCAAGATATAAGATATAAAAGCACATGCACATGCTAAAATAGGAATTAATAATTAGCCCCCGGAAAACAAAAGAAAGAAGAGTTATGTTTTCAAAGGCTTCTTTAATCTTGGTTACCAAACTAAAACTTTATTTAAAAAAAATAAATTATTGTTTTCCCCTTCCAAAGTGTCGAGAATCCTCCCAAGTGACCCATGAAATTTAAAAAAATAAATAAATACAACTCTCAAATATCGACACAATTCGAATGAGGAGCTTTTCCTCAAGCATGCTCTAAGGAAACTGAAGTATAAATTTTAGACTTTTCGGATTCCTATAAAATAGGAATATTTAAATATTTTTAAATCGGGTTTAAAAATATGGATCATAACAGATGTCCTAAAACTGACTCCTACACTTTGACCTTATCAATTCAAACTAATTATACGAAATAAAATCTTATATTATAAACCCTATTACTCATGACTAAACTATGATTATTATACAGTAATGTAGGTTTATATTTTCTCTCAGTTCTGTTAAAATTCGGTGTAATTTTTATACAAATTATTCAGACTTGAAATTAACTATATAAAATATTCTTATAGGGAATTTTAGAATAATTAAAATAATTTAAACAGAAAAGTAGTCTTTATTGTATAGAATACAAATTTGTGGATAATGGTGTATATGAATGGAAAAGATATTTATATTGTGAGTAAAAATTGACCATCTTCACGTCTTTTTTGGTAAAGCCTGTAAAAAAAAATCATTATTATTTATAAATTATAAATTAATCATTGCTTTTAATAATTCAAGAACTAAATAAGCTAGAATTCTATCGTAAACCAAAACCAAATGTAACAATTTATAATAAAGATTAACAAATATAAAAATAAGGTGGAATGTATATTAAAACAAGATACATCAAATTAATGTGTGTGCATTGGACAGAAGTGAATACTACAGTAGTGAAAACTTCAACAAGGCGAGATTAATAATCTAAAATATAAATTATAAATAATAGCTCATTATAAAGAGGATATAATTTTAAAAATTTTCCTCGATTACAGCACGCAGGTCTGATTTTAGTTTCTGAGATATTTTGATCTATATCTTCAATAAAACCCGTTATCATCTGGTTTTCGACACTATTTTTTCTCTTTTCACCTCTCTGACTGCCGTCGAGTTAAGAAACAATTTTGAATAATCACACATCACAAAGAGGATGAAATGATGAACCTATTTCTCTTACTTAAAATAGATAGGTCCGATTTTCGTTGCTGAGATATTTTAAATCATATGCAAAAATAATTCAATTAGTCGGCTCCAGCCGACTTCAGCTGAGCGTTAATACAGCGGAAAACTGACGGATCAATAAATTCACTCCACAAAAAATGTTCAAAACGCGCCTAAAGAAGTTCAAAAACCGTTCCAATGTAATTCTAGTTTTCTAAAACAAATCAAATGAACTGTCATTTTTCATGTTTAATCAATAAATATTTTTTTCATAATGATAACATTACCTTGTTATTCAAGCATTTTACAAATTCGTAGGCTGTCTCGCAATTGTTAGCTTTAGCTGAAAACATTTTTAAAATTATTGTACTATTATCAACTAAAGTTTTATTAAATGAATAATATTCTAATTCAAGTAAATGATTTATACCAGATGTATCGCATTCATCGATTGCCTTCATGTACTTCTTCTTCAATTCTTCGTCTTTGATTATTTCCTCTGGTATCGCTCTTTCCTTCTCTCTATCGATAGAGCCATCTGGCTTAAACTAATTAAACGAAAATAAAATTTAATTTTTTCTCTTCAGATCTGTGTAATCCCTATTATATTTAATTCACACATTGTATTGCACAAATATCACTAAAAGAAATATTAAGTAAGTCTTACCACTCCCTTTTTTTCCAATAAGCAAGCCACAGCGCACTGTAAAATAAAATAATCAATAATTATTTAAAATAAGAAATCGTTAATAATTTAATAACAAATAAATATCTTCCTGCATTGAGCAACTAGAAGTAGGTAATCTGGAATAGCCAATAACATTATATTTAATAAACTATATTTAATAATCTCTGTTACACTAACAATCAAATGCTCCTATAACAAAAAGAAATTATTTGTCAAATTGTAACTGGACCAAGGATTATTATAGGAATTGTAAAGTAGTTTTAGGAATATTAGAGTGCGGACTAACACGTATTGACCAGTATCCTGGTTAAGTGATAGCAAGTTCGATTCCCGTTACGGGGAGCTTTTAACTCTAGTATTGATCCCCCGCCCTATCTCTAGCCCAGAAAAAAACCCTTATAGTCGAGAAAAAGAAAACGAAACGAATCTTTTAAAGTATTTATTTCTTTCAAACTTTTTATGAATAGTTTTATATACTAATTATTACTACCACGTTTGTTACTGTTTGCCTGACAACGGTGATTTCGATACTCCAAAACTTGTCGAAAAAGGGGTGGTCCCGATAACGGACATTAAAGGCAAATATAGTTATTTTAAAACCATATTTATTGAATAAAAACACATTATTGCCTACCTTGGCTGCTTGTGGAACGGCAGGATCATTATAATCTGAAATATAAAATAAATGTTTTTAAAAAAAATTTACAATTTTTTGTTTTCATTTCTATTATTATTTGTTGTAGTAAACCACCTGTACTACTTACCCATATTTTCAATATCGCCAGTAAATCTATTTTCTTTATTACAGGCATCTGCAATCTCTTTAAACGTTTCTGACAAAACCTTTAAAATAATAACAAGATTTAAAGAATATTTGCCAATTTGAAATTTAAATAAACGTAAACATATAGGTTGTCCTGTAATTAAGGGAAATATTTAAAAATAAAACTCCATGTAGGAGCTAATTTTTATTTCTGTGTCCTGGAATGTATTGAAATTGAATTATCGAAAAAATATAATTTTTAATTACAAAAAATAAGATTTTTTTTTTAAATGTGGCATATAACGCGACGAATAGTATTTTTATTTATTCTTATTGTATTAAATTGCTGTGAAAATGCCCTTAATCATAATACTTTAGTGTTTCATGAAATTAATTCAAGCGATTATCGTGTTTATTTTGTTTTGTTTTTTAGAAATGATAATTTACAATAGTGTTGACAAAAATCGGTGTTGATCTTTACCGCCTTACTGTTGCAAGACGTAGACAAAGATTGGTAAAAAAAAATTATTTTGTGAATAAAAAAGGCAAAACAGTTACTTTATGACAATTTTAGTTACTATCTTTAAATAATTGGTATGACTAAAATGCTCTTTCATTTAATTCTTCCAATTTTCTCTATCTGAAAAATTACAGTAATATTTCTAATTAATATAATAAGTAAAGTAATTATAAGTAATATCTCTGTAGTAATAGGCTAATAGATAACTGCAAGACTCTATCGCAACACCAAGACTGAGTGCGCAAGACTAAAACTCGTCTTGGTCTTGGTCTTGCAGTTATCTTGGGCAACACTAATTGAGTTATTAACTTAAATTGGTACTGTCGTGAGTTGTTAATGAAAAACTGCATCCGGATGCATTATTGAAAACCTTTGGTAATTTTTATTTGAATAGGGGTAAAAAGGAAAGTACAATAATTTATAAATAACGCAAAAAGATTTTCAATAGAGTTACTGGAGAATACTTCACAAAGTTACAACTATGATCTTAATTATTAATGAATGATTTAGCTGAATTTCAAACTTACAGAGTGGGTTGACAGAAGAACGATTGCTAGTACAAATTGTGAATAAAACATATTTATAATAAGCTGTTGATTGATATGTGTTTACTACAACGTTGATGCTTACTGAACGAACAAGCTCTGCGTCCAGCTATATATGGCGTTGTGCCGAGGATGTAAATCATTCAATTACGGAAATAGTTAAATTTTTTAAAAAATCAGTTGACCTCAGAACCAAAGTGGTTTTAAAAAAATTTAAATACAATAGCCTAGCTTTCCGTTGTCAAGTTGGTACAACCATTCACAATAGACTCGTTCATGAATAGGGATAAACAATTGATTTTTTAACTTTCTTTTTGATTTGATTAGAAACTTTCTTTCTACTATTTCTGTAAACTATACATACAATAATTAAGTATGGGATTGGAAATATAGAAATATTTGATTATCTGGTGATTATACAAGATGTTATTTGAATACAGATAAATTTCAATTTATCTTTGAACTCATTACGAGATATAATAAATATCTATTGGGTATTTACTTTCTTATTAGTACACTGCTACATTTTTATTATATTCAGAAGGGCTCATACTTTGCCCATTCCTTACTCCGACAATTTTTAGCTCAAATAAAATCACCCAGAGTTTTCTTGCCTGGAATGTACAGGTATCTTCGAATTACTAAACGGTTAAATGATTTTCGTTATCAACAGAAGTACTTTCATGTTTATTTTATTTATTAATTGAGTTTGACTCTACCCAATAGGTAATTGCTTATTCTTTGTTCACCTAGATTTTTATATTCTATTGTTAAATCTCGTTATTTTAAAAAAAATCATCAGGTTTTCTATATATTTTTCTGTAAGATGTCATGGATAACATCGGGGCATGATAACTTGATTTCTTATGACCGAATAATCTATACAATCCAATGTATACAAGTATGTGGTTCATTGCTCTAGGGTGCACAACTTGTGACGCAGGTACATTTAAATCACTTTTCTTCAAAGCTAACTCCATTTCACTCACAAACGATTTGACCTAATGTTTTCTTTGTTTTTTTTTTTTTTGGGAGGCGGGAAGATTTCTTCTCTAAGTCGTACAGTGTGGCTGATAGCATGGGAAAAGTCTTGTTCTTGAAAAAAAAAATGTTTCCTTCTTATCCAAACTAATTAAATATTGTTTGAAAAGTCATTAAATGATGGCTAAACCAAATCTAATACCGGGTAATCTAGTCTAAAACCAGTATGTTTTTATTGTATTTAATGAAAATTTTCAGTTGGCCTCTGACTTTCATGGAGTGCGGTTGTATTGTGGAGTTATTCGGACTGTTTCTATATTTCATTTATTTATTTTATTTCATGTATTTCGTCTTCTTTTTTTTTTAAATGTAATTAATGAAACCCGGCGAAGAATTAAGTGATTCGCCCGGTGTTTCCCTCACTACTAAAACGAACGTAGACCAACATACGGACGAATCCTGTTCTAAGAAGAGAGTTCATAAAGCTATTGATTCACCTCAATCACCAGTTAAAAAAATGGGCAAGTACTACCAGGAAATCGCTCCAATTAAAGTAAGCAATAGCTTTAATCATCTTACTGAAATTGACCTTTCATCCGATAAGCACACTACAGCAAGTACTAGTCATAAAAATAACCCAAATGTTCAATCCAATGATATTAGAATACCACCGATATTTTTACACAATGCTAACAATTACAGACTTCTATTAAATGACCTAAATGCATTATGTATCGGACCATTTAGTACGCAACTGGCCGGTAACAACACAAAAGTAATGCTATCAACCATTGGAGACTACAGAACTATGACTAAATATTACGAAGAAGAAAAAATTGAATATCACACATTTTCCTCAGATAAAAATAAATACTTAAACATTGTCATAAGGAAGGTCCCTTATAGCATAACTGGAGATGAATTAAAGGCCGAGTTAAATTCCAAACAGTTCGAAGTTGTTTACGTTTCCAGAATATTGAATAAAGATAAGAAACCTACTCCTCTCTGCTCAGTGTCTATTATAAACAATGAAACGGCTAATGACATTTTCAATCTTAACAATTTATTTTCTGCTTTAATTACAGTCGAACCTAAACACAAGAAAAATGATATCCCCATGTGTACCAACTGTCAGAGGTATGGCCACACAAAAAATTATTGTCATTTAGAGCCCCGGTGCGTTAAGTGCAAAGAAAAACACCACTTCTCTAAATGCCCGTTAAAATTCACAGATAAGCCATTTTGTGTAAACTGTAAATTGGCCCATGCAGCTACCTACAAGGGTTGCGTCTATTATCAAAATATAAAAAATAGAGTAAATTCACGTCTAGAGCCAACTAGTCAAAAAACTGAGAATATTTCTTCTAGACCTGCCTCCAGAATTACTTCAAAACAGTCATTCGCAGACACCATTAGACCGATAACAAAACAATCGGAACGAAAACCTCAGCCCACAGTTAATCAAAACATTGAAATAAACGGCGATAATTTACTGTCAACAATAACTAAAATTATTATCGATGCTATCAAACCGTATTTACCACAAATTATGACCCACCTATCTTCGCTCGTAGCTTCTTTATTTACTAATGGACCCTAAAGTAAAGACTATCTTATCTGTTACTAACTCGTTCGAGACTAACTGCGCATTATTCCAGATCACGTATTATTTCATTTATTTCCAAATATTAATTTTTTATATATGACTGCAGAACTAAAAAAATTAAAAATTTTAAACTGGAATGCGCATGGCATATCATCTCAAAGAAATGAATTTAAAATTTTTCTTGAATCAAATTTCATCGACATAGCCTGCATAACCGAGACACATCTATCTCAAAACATCACATTTAAAATCCAAGGTTACAAAATCCTACGAAAGGATCGAGAATGTTCGACTGCTTCCGGCGGCGTAGCCTTAATAATTAAGAATAATATTAGCTTCACTGAAAACATTATTCATAATATTTTAAATATCGAAGTCATATCAGTTCGTTTACATACAAATTGTAGGCTTCCTCTCTCATCTCACGTTATCACAGCCTTAAATTCGGACCACATCCTTGTATTAATTAATTTTTCAACTGAGCTAAATGTAGTGCTGAAGCGAAAATCACTCATTAATGGAACGATTGACTGGGAATTATACAAAATCTTAGTAGCTGAGAAAATAAATCTGAAAAATAATTTTTCTACTGCCCTTGAAATCGAAGAAAATATAAATAAACTAAATGAGTCTATCTCGAATAGTCTACAGGAAGCAACCGTATGACCTTTCCAGTTAGTGAGGAAAAATTTTTCAAGGAGTTGCCCAAAATCAATTCTGTTAAAAATTAAAGAAAAGAACCATGCAAGGAGACAGTGGATGCGCAACAGAGATCCTACTTACAAAAAGACATGGAACCACCTCAAACACGTAATTAAAAAAGAACTGGATGAATGGGTAAAAGATTTAGACCCAAAGGACCAATCTCAGTGGAAGGCTACTCGGCGTGTACTAAGCAAATTTGAGAAAATTTCTAGTCTGAAAGAGAATGGAGGATACATCATCAGTGACGCAGAAAAAGCTGAAGCATTTGCAGAATACTTTGAGAAAACGTTCTCAAACCCAGATTGCGAAAGAAGTCCGCATTCACCAAATGTTGATGTTGAAGATTATTTAAAATTGTCCATAACAACTGTACAGCTTCCGATTAAATTCACAACCCCTAAAGAAATTCAAGAACTAATTAGGAGTCTCAAAGTAAAAAAAAGTCCAGGACATGACCTTATACCAGTTATTGCTTTAAAAAATTTTCCTAGAAAAGCTCTCGTTTACATTACGACTATTTTTAATAGCTTTCTACGCACTGGATATTTTCCCGAAACGTGGAAGAAAGCTGAACTCGTAGTAATTCATAAGCATGGTAAAAACGCTAAACAAGTCAGTAGCTATAGACCGATAAGTTTATTACCCATAGTTGGAAAATTACTAGAGTCAGTCATAAAAAGACATCTTGCATCCTTTTTACAATGTAATAGCATTATTCCTAATTTTCAATTTGGTTTTCAGTATAGTCATTCCACTTCACACCAACTGGCAAGATTATCAGAATTCATAGTAAATGGATTTGAAATGAAAAAACATACTCCTGTCACGTTTTTAGAATTTCAACAAGCGTTTGATAAGGTTTGGCATTGTGGTCTATTGTACAAGCTAAAGAAAGTGGACACGCCCAAATATTTATATGGCATTCTGAGCTCATTCCTCAACGGCAGAACATTTACAGTTAGAATAAATAATATAAATTCAACCTTAAGACAAATCCATGCCGGCACCCCACAAGGTTCTGTTCTTTCTCCCATACTTTTTAACTTTTATGTTCACGACATTATCCAATCCACAAACACCTCCATAGCTATGTTTGCCGACGATACAGCTGACTTTTCCCAACACAATGATATATTAATAGCCAGAAATACACTGCAGTCTTACCTAGTAAATCTAGAACAATATTTAAAAAAATGGATGATTTGTCTCAACACCGAAAAATGTACAGCAAAAATTTTTACTCTTAGACGTCCCTCAGACCCACCTGAACTGATTCTCAAAAATAAAGAACTAAAATGGAACCCAGCTAGTGAAGCAGTAAAATACCTCGGAGTTTATCTGGACCGCCGCCTTACGTGGAATTACCATATAAATAATAAACTGACCCAAACATACGCAAGGTTAGCAATGTTATATCCCATAGTAAATAGAAAATCTAGTTTAAAACCAGAGACAACTGTTCTTATTCATAAAACCATACTAAGACCCTTGCTAATGTACGGATGTGAAGTCTGGGGAGCCGCTTCAGCTACGAAAAGAAAAAAACTACAATCCTTTCAAAACAAGGTATTAAGAATTGCAGTAGATGCCCCCTGGTTCATAAGAAACGCTCAACTACATCGAGAACTAAAATTGGAAACAATAGATGAATTCATCAAAAAAAGATTTAAAAAATTCCATACGCAGCTACCAGCAGTTAAAGGTGCAGTGGCCTACAACTTAGGAAACCCAACCTCATCTC